GGTTTGCGGTCTTTTTTCTTGGAAATTTTTTGAAATTGAAGATATCCATATAAATACTTTATGAAAAGGTGTCTAATTTAATTGGTATGAATAATCATTGCTTGCTTAATTGTTGCGTTATGTGTTTGCCAACCATCGTTCGCTCCATCCTAGGCGAACCAGGGGTTCCCAGTGGTAGCTCTGAATCTAGACTTCATATCTATTCAGAAAATTTGTACCAAAAAGAAAGGTTAATCCCTGAGTATAACTCTTAAGAACAGGTTTAGAATCATTTGAATTCCGGGCCTCCCCCATATGCCAGATGCCAGAATTACGCCCTGGGATCCAAAACAAGTTTCACAAATTGTTTACTTTTCTACTTTATTTACAGCTTTCGTCTTCGCCTGATTTACAATAACAAATTTATCCTAAGAGACTTTTTTCCTGCATTTTGGTAACAAAGTAAACGCGAAAATTGTCTTGATCTAAACTATTCAAATAAGATTTCCTTACCAAAATGTTACTTCACCAAAATGTTATATACACATTTTTCTCTGCAGGAAATAACTTGTTTTAACGAATAATGCTTATGCTAACTTTCTAATAATCATACCTAAATAACAAGGTTAAAATAAGACAGACGAAAGCTTTGTTTTAACGTTATATCTGTAAAATAGTATTTTTTCGTTTTTTTTTTGTGAGTGAAATGGCGGTTTATACAATCGCAAAAAGAGGACACATAAAATGTTAAGTGCTCTCGCGGGGCTATCCTGACAGCAGTAAAATTTACTTTAAACGAAGCAAAATCTATTATTGTATCTTATATAAATCGCGATCATCGCTTAAAATTAAATACAAAATGCTTCATATATGGTAAGCACACCATTCACTCTTCATAAACGGAAAGTAACATGAAATCTATTTTTTGTTCCTTTAGCGATTCTTTATCCTGTCTTGATCAGTTAATGAAATTTAACAGTATTTAGTTAATAATATAACAAATGGTTAATACTACTCTTAAACAAGTTCATGGGTTAGCTCATTCCCTTACATGTACCTAACACAACAACTATGAATATTTTTTCTATGACCAGTTTCATTGTCTTTCTTTCTATAATAACGTGATTATACTTCCATTAAGTTGTCATTCATTGGTTGATGTTTTTCTATTTCAGGAACGATATACGATTACCAAAATTAGTATCCTCTACTTGTTTAACGCTGCTAGACTACTGATAACTAAATAACAGTCCTCACATTCTAGTATCAAAGTGGAATTCCAATGTATGACATAAAGTCTTGAACTCCTGTAGTCTTGGTACCTGTCTTGTGGTATAATTATGTCATACTAAGTAAGCTAGATAATTACCATTTAGCCGGAAATTTCAAAAATTCCAGAAGGTTACCAGCAAGGTCATTTTTGGGAAATGTTAACCGAACATTGAGAACTGCGTTTTTAGGTTGTCCCCTCATTCCGGTGGTACCAATTTAATGCAATGTTGTTTAACATTTCCCAATTTCTCGGTTTCAGACCTACTCTACTTGACACCTTCTTTGGATTCAATTCGTAACAGGAGTTACAGTTTTGCGGTAATCTCGTAAAACGCTTACCGTTAGTTTTTGGAAATCCCAACGGGACTTTCTGTCAAATGGTAAGCACCCCAGAATCAGGTTGAATACCTCAAACCAGCGGGCAACACAATACAATTTTCCTGGTCCTGGTTTTTCGCGAGATGGTCAAGTTTTACTCAGGGTTAAGACATGTTTATGATGGCCTAAACAATTCTTATGAAGGAAAAACACAATTATAAACCAGATTCTGTAATCCTGGATTAGCACTAAACAGCCTAAGACGTTATTAAAATTTTCTGTTTTCTCCGTTAGTGTATTTTATCTGAGGACAAAACCTTGTTTGGAAGTATTCATTCTGTCTACACTATTTCACCCTCTTGGTTATTGCGCGGCTGCCGAAGACTGGTCGATTTAAAGTTTCTGAGGGGTGGTATTGGCCTATTCTCTGCTTGAGCTGCTCGTCCAGCTGGGTTTTCTTCAAATTCAGCCTGGTCCTCAACCTGTGAGTATTTTGCAGAACTGTACTTCGACATGTTCATCTCTAAGTACATCTTAAAGAAAGAAAATGAACAAATTATAGATGTAAATTTAAACAGGAAAGTTATCTTTTTCGCGATAGCTCTCATGTTTCAAATGTTTTCAGATGTACCAAAATTGTTCCCCAAAAACAGACAGTAAGACTGGGATGTGGCACTTGATTTACGGTAGAATGTTAAAAAAAGTGGTTCTTCATGTCTGTGGTCTGATGTCTGCTGCACTGTAACTTTTCGTATTGGAACTCTTTGATGAGTTCTACTCTTATTAGAGCGGCTGCGGGGTTCATATCAAGGAGCTCCATAAAACAACCAAAACGACGATAACTACTGTAAATGTAGCCGCACCCTGCCCCCTCCCCCTCCCGACCAAGGAAAAGCGTTTTTTTCTTTGTCGGGCAAGTGAATTCAGGCCTCTTTAAACTTTATCGCTTTTTTATCTCGTTAACTCTGAAGGCGAGTTTCCTGGAATTGAATTGTTAAGGATCGTTCCCAAGAGCGGGTACAGTAGTCCCCAAGATTCAGAGGCTTGGTTGTCGTAGTTCAAAACACGTGCATTTGGTCATGTAGTGACAGCGAAGTGTACTAAGTATGATGCACCAGCAGAGTTTTTCAGATGTGATTTTTTCCAGACTTGTTTTGAATTGTTGATTTTTTTTTCCGTTTGAGGTCTGTAAAATTCTACTGTTCTACTGCTCTCCAAACTATAAATCGACTCATGAATTGACAATACTTTCTGCATGTTGTGCCGAAGATGGCTTAACTAGGTTTCAGACTAGAAATGAGTTTGTGGAATATGCATGTCGACGTTCCACATGCTTTTGTTTGTTTTTACTCACAGTGCGTTTCCTTAAGAGTACATCCACGAAAGGACCAGGCAGGGACGGCACAAGCCATCTAACCGATTTCGATGAAACTTGGCCAGTTTGAAGGGGTCTGCCCAAAACTACTTCACTCTAAGTTTAACGAAATTTAGTCGAAACCGGGGGGAGTTGACCACCCCCTTGTTTTTATTAAAAAAAATGACCAAAAAACACCTAAAAATTGGTCAAAAGTATAAAGCTCTACTGCTAAAAGAATTCCACCAAACCTTTTCATATTTTCAGTGAATGTTATCCTACCCAAAGACAATTTATTGTAACTGTTTCGTTCTTCTAAGACAAGTTCCTACGACACAAGTCATCTCAGCCAAACCCCCCCCCCCTCTCACCCAATAATGAAAATTGTTGAAATATCCAAAGTTTAGGCCAAAACATCTCCAATGCCGGAGCATGCTCCCAAAAACGGAGCATACCGTCTAGAAGGCGGGACTTCATACTAACATTATCTGCAAAAAAATATTTGGGCACTCATTTAATTATTCCACAGGAAGACTGCAAACACGTCGTCCACCACAGGGTACCTTCGTCAATTTTTTCCATTATAACGCGCTACTTCGGTAATTATGGCACAGCAACAGACAAATAATGCCACAAAATGGTTGCACACCATACACTTTGATGAAATAGAACCATTTCTATCTAATAGCTAAAATAAAAAAAAACTTGGCCCACCACAGGATACCCACTTCATTTTTTTTTTCATCATAACTCGCTAATTCGGTAATAAAGACAGCAACAGGTAGAAAATGCAGCAAAATGGTTACACACTATAACATATAATGAAATTGAACCATTTCAAAAGCTTTTGTTTATCTTAAGCCATGAAAATGACAATCGACGGCTTAATGATGACCTCTATTATTGTATAAGTGAACTTCGTGACGGAACTTACTCATCGCTAAGTGAAACACGAGAGTCACAGAACTCTATCAAAATGCCTACATTGTCTGTATTTGAACGTTAGAATGATCGTATAATGAAACTGACTTTTGTTAATTTAATAAAGGAATAATACATTTGCTTGAAACTTGCACGCCATATTGCATCTTGATGCAGAAAACTTTATCAGAAAGACCTTGCTATACTGAAAACAAAATCAACTGCGTGTTTTTGTGATTTGTGCCCTAAAGAACTGTCCTTTGTAAGAACTATCAAAGACAAAAGTCAAAATAGATATAATCAAACAGACAAACACTCTCATCGAAAGTAAAGTTACAGTTCTAGCTCCCTCCTGATTTGAAGCCGTGTTCTGATAAGGGGAGCTTCAGCCTCATATGGGTCTTTCTCCTCATCTTCGCTTTCTCCTCCCTCGGGTACCGGTTCTGTTGGCGATGGCCTCACCTCCTCTCTTTTATGAAGACCCCTACTCCTGTTTAATGCGGCCATTCTTCTGAAATATCCGGAGATCTGGGTAGATGTCAGCCACTCGTCTTTGGTAAATACCTTCGTTCCCTCAGCGGTTCGCGCGTACCTCATTTGTGCTGCTACATCCTCTGCGCTGCTTTATTCCCGGTCTCCTCTCCTTGAAGGAAGACTTCGCGCAAAAATTGGCGCACTTTAGTGGTGAAATGAACAGACTTCTTGGTCTTTTTTAATGCCCAGCCCATGTCAGCTGTTGGCAGTGGGTCTTCCGACTGGCTATGGGAAACTGAGGCGGATGCAGATGTGGGCGGCTGAGCTGCTTCCACGTGGCTACCAGAAATTGACTTGCAGGTCTCTGCCCACTTTTTCTTCATCACGTCGTACGTGGACTCTCTCTCTAACGTGAGAAGGTGTTTCCCGGCATCGAGGTGACGCTGAAGGCTGCTGTGACTTTGGTAAACTTTTATGCAACCCTCCTCTGGGCAGCCAAAGGCCACACGCTCTTCTTCTTCAAGCCGAATCCGTTCTACGGCTATAGGGTCTGTTGGAGGTGCTACGGGCTGCTGTTCTTGCGTGCTGGAAGATGCACGGAAGACACCAGTCAGTATGTCAGGACTATTGAATGCCTGGAGAACTTGTAAGTTTGTCGGGCCTTGAGGGTACCGAGACGCGCTAGCGACGCCGCGGAAAAGACCTTTCCGGGTCCGACATTGTAGGCCCGCCAAGCGATCATCTCTCCACTTTCAGTGAACACGAAGTTCTTCAAAGACTGTATGCCACTCAGCGGGTGCTTGGTCATGTTTTGGGACCTTTCGTCAACCTTGCACACCACTGAGTAGCAGCCTTTGACGCCCCCATGAGAGTCAATAGCAGCTTTCATGTCACTTGCTGTCTTGACGTCATTGCCTTCATTAATGTAGCGCCTAATGTGGCTCTTCAGGGCGGCGGCTCGGCGGTCACATATGTCTTTCCCAGCTTGGGCCTCACTGAAGTCATAACGAGCTATGCGGACACCAATTCGCTCTCCAAGGCTTGGAAGACTGAGAAGAAGAAATGGGCAGTGATAACAGCCTGCGTTGTCAGATCTTGGAAAGCTTCATTCAGTCTAGGTTTCTGTCGCTTCATGGTGGTTAGTGAATCTTCGATGATGGAGGCAACGCTGAACCAGTTTTGATTGCATATATGTTCGCGTCTGAAAGTCATAATAATAAAGCATTTTTTAGCATGAATAGTGTGCCAAGGGACCTGGTCACAGTCAAGGGCTAATGGAGTATTAACCTGCGCATTTTGACTTGAAACAGAGATAACACCCGGGAAGGTCTGCTTTTTTCGAGAATGTTAATGGCCTTTTATTTGGATTAAAAATGTTCTCCGTCCCATGCGCTTTTGCGCGCGCTTACGTGCGTCGCCAACATTTTATCTTAATGTAAGTGCCGAAAGCAATGAAATGTTGAAATTCACTATTAGGAATTTAAGCTTTCGCGTCTATTCTGGGCCTGGCATTCTTATCAGTTATCCAATTTTGCAATCGGTTAGCGCAACAAAGACCGCGCTCACGAGAAACTAGTTTATACTGGTCAGTGAGCGATAAAGACAGAAGAGTAGGCACATGATTTCTACCTCAATTGTTCCATCTTCTGCTTTAGTGATGGCCACCGGGAGAGGCCAGGACTTCCCCTTCTTTCCAAACCAGTCGCGCTGCGTTTCGCGAAAGCTGGTGGGAATAAACTTCACCGCCCAGTCTATTATTAGCAGAACCTGTGATGGTTTCAGGCTATCAACAATTTCGTTCTTGGCCGCATCCTGGTGAACTGAACGGAGAACGTGCGACTTCCAATCTTCTATGCTCGGCGCAGCGCAGCTCAAATCATGCTGTAACTCCTCTCGTTTATAAAAGGACTTAAAAGGGAAAGAGTAGAGCTTGTCAACATCACGGCGCGATAGCGTCAGAAATTTTTCTTTGGAGCCGTTTATCATGATGACTCTCACTTTTTTCGTAAACTACGTTTCATTTAAAACATATGTTCATTAGGTTTAGAACCACCCAAAGCAATTTAAAATTTCTAACTGAAACTCATATAAAGCGCCCTGGGGATTAGGTTGTTAGTTGACAATAAATGCTAAACTCTGCTTTTCTGTCACAAAGATGTTCTTACCTTAGATGTACTTCACCTGAATCCAACGCTAGTTGCAGATCTGAGACAGCATTCTTTAGGTCTTCGCACCGGTCACAGGTTATGGTATGCTGATGTTGGCACTGACCGTTGTACTCTTTCTCTGTCCTACTGAGGGCGAACACTCTGCAGTGATCTGCGCACGGGGATTCGCTGGCTGTGTGGATCTTGAAATCCGTCTTCAGATACTGCCGACCTGCTTTGAGTCGCATTAGAATGTTATCGGCCATTGTGCTATCCAGTCCTGTGATAGAAAAAATACACACAATAATAAATATTGATACTCCGTCAGCTTATTAAAAGTTGTGACAACTCGTGCACCTACAGTAATAATGGAAGGTGTTTGTATCTCACCGGCTTGTTTGAGTTGATGAGTGATGTCTTCAAGAGTGGCGAGCGCCTGTACCCCATCTGTCTGAGTGCTATCAAGACCGGCTAACGATTTCTTTAGTGAAGCCCCACAAACCTGAAGAGAAACAAAATGCTTTGGTTTCAAACTATTTTCTAAATTCAAACCATTACTACTACTACACCACTACTACAACTACAATTAACCCTGATCAAAATTCGTCCTTTACGAACGTTTTATAATCCGTACCTTGATTGGACTCTACACAAAAGTTCAGGTACATGCGCACTAGGTGGGAGGATATAACTGTGCGCACCATGTTCGGGGTCTCTAAGCTCTCTCCACTCTCCAGTTTAAGAGTTCTGGTGCCATATGCCACATCTTGAAGAACTGATGGACTGGACAAGAAGTCAAGAAAGTGGTCAACTTTCACAGTATCCAAACGGCATCTGGTGATCCTTGGTGGATCAATGGGTTGCCCGGGCTTAGTTTGGAAAGCGTGCTTCCTTGCCTCGTCGATTCTCCATTTTGAGAGACCCGGAATCAAAGCCAATAGCTCGCTCTTCGAGTAGTCGTTCACGAAAAGCGACAGGATCCGTTGTCTCGTGTACCAATTGGCGGCTTCCTCATACAGAATCACCAGTCTGGCAACCAGCGTGTCTTCGACTATACCCTCGGCTGCTTGTAAACGAATCCGCCGTTGCATGACTTGGTGGTAGAGCCAGGAGGCGTTGCCAGGGGAAATGGATTCAAGCACGCCTTCGATAGCCTGCTCCGCTTTTTTCCGGTAGTAGCGCTGGGTTCTGGATGACATAGTAAGAACGTCACGTTGGCACTGTGACCTCACCGGGCTGACCCTGCCTTCAGTAGCCATTCTGAGAAAATTATTAAGGTAGTAAAGGCGGTGCTATTTTTGAGGGGTGGGCTGCCATTCTGCCGACGTCTCTGCTGCGCCAAGAGACTCCTGGGACCCAGACGACGTCCGCGACAAAGCGTCTGAATGGCGGTCGCTGGGGTCTGAGTCGCGATCGCTATGCTGGAAGAGAAAAAAGCTGTATGTAGGAAATATCTAATTATTCCATCAGTTTGGCATTATTACCGTATAGTCAGCGTGCACAAGTTTTACATTAAAGAATTCCTGTTGGCCGGTATGCTTTGCGCCCGTTGGCTTTATAATAATAATAATAATAACTTTATTAATCTCCTTAAAAAGGCTTTTCAGCTTAATTTACAATGTCAAATATCTAAAACTTAGTTTTCCAAAAATACCCTTAAAAAATGCTGTTTTATTTTAACCTTAAATACATCTAAATTAGTGATAGACTGAAACTCGTCTGGGAGACTATTCCACAACCTTTGGCCTCTGAAGGTAAACGCGCGCTGACCTGCAGCCGTCCTACAGAGTGGTATATGTAGGCGGTCCCTATTCCTAGTGTTGCAGTTGTGCACTTCCGATCTGGTTTTAAACTTCTGACAAAGATATGGAGGTGCAAGTCCATTTAAGCATTTAAATACCATGGTAGCATCCCTAACCTC